ATCTCAGCTCATATGGGAGAAAAAATTAAAACCAGGCAGAGACAGCCCCATTGTAAGCTTCGCATGCAATCAAACGGCCTCACAGGGAAACTCCCCTTCCTGGCTGCACTGCTGCCACTGGTGAACCACAATTTAAAAAAAAAAAAAAATCACTTTTTATACTCCCTGCTTTCAAGCTAGACATTGACATGTGAACTAAAATCTTCTTTTTAACTATTGCCCGGGAGGCCACCAAAGAATCCTAGCTGACCCCCTGCCATCAGAGTGAGTGATGGTCGGCTGCTGGTGTTGCAGCTCACTTCCCCCAGGCTGCCACCCTGAGAGATCCCACCATCCACCGTCGGTGTGAGTGACATTAGCCCACTGGGCTTTGAAAACACTTTTCAGGTCGGTCATCGCGGAGAGATAGCTTCCTTCACACACACCATCAGGGTGAGTGACGTCAGGCCACTGGGGTTTAAAATACAGACCCTCAGGCTTGCTAAGCTGACACTGCTGAGAAAACTGCTTTTTTTGTTTTACATCAGCAGGGACCTCTTTGTCTTTTTTTGCATTGTTTACTTAGAAGCCAGCCTCCCCCTTCCCCGACTCCCACCCCAGACAATTATTAACATCTGTAGGGTAATTTCTACTTCTTTTTTTTTTTTTTTTAACTGGAGGAAAAACAGATTTTAGTCTTAGAATTTTTATAGCCATCTGCTTTTTCATATGATTTCTGAAAAAATCCTGGCTGTGCCTGAGTATTTGTTAGTGGGAGAGTTTTAGAAGAATAAAAGTAGAGCAATTCTCAGAGATTCTAGTCCTTTTAACTGTCCAGGTCAGACACTCCTTGATCGATAATGCTAAGTCATTCTTCCTTCTTAGCTTTTCATGAGGTTCCTCGAAAATTAAGACTTCAGGAAATGTTTCTTTCCAGTCTTGACAGACTGTGAATCTGGGTGATGCTTGGTCTTCCAGTTGATGCTGCAAAAATTAAAAGGCTCCTCTCTAGCCAACCATTATAGAAATCTATACCTGACATTTTGAGCCCTAAATTCAGATGGTGAGACTTTAGGAGCTCTGTGAAATAATACATGGAATTTAGGATAAAAAAACCCTAAACTTGTTAATATGGAATAAAAATATTTTAAACTGCCATTCTGTAATATTGCTGAAAACACTATATCGTAGAATCGAATGTAGTGCAGTAGAAGCACCATTTTTCTGAATTCTGTTTCCTGTCCATTCAAAATTAGGAAATATTTCTTGATATATTACTGAAAAATAGGGATTTTTTTTCAAATATTTGTATCTAAACAATTCTCATTCGTTATCAAAACAGCGAACATAGGTAAGCTAAAATAAACGCATTTGAGAATTTAGGAAAACAAGTTCTGAGAAAGATTACTTCGTTAATTGTTAATTTATGTAAAGGTATAGAATAGTATTGAAACTAACATTTTTTTGTCTGATTTGCAACTTTATTTTCTTTTTCTTTGTTCTGTGCAGTTTGAAGCTTTCACTTATCTGATCATCATTTGGATGCATGGACTCATTTTGGAGTCATATTTTGCAAGAGGTATTGTGCAGAGTACCATTGCTCTTTAAGAGATATTTGATTGCTTTAAACAGTCTCTGACTTCTTCTTCAGCTTGCCTATTTTTTGAATGGTATCAGCTACAGGTAAATACTGAATGGTACCAGTTTCATTGAAGTAAGAGGCTTTTTCATGTTTTTGAGAGATTAGCAGGAAATTATTAAAAATATGTAACAAAAATGTATTTTGATGAAGCAGCTGGGCTGTCCAGTAAATACATTTGAAAAGAATTTACTTTAGCCCTGTAAGAACAGAAATACAGAACAGAAATATGCTGACAGTGCGATACTAGACCAGACTGAAGTCCTTTCACGTCAGCTTGAAAGTAGCCCCTAGTAGTTACTACGATGAGATGCTTCTGAGGACACTGCAGGCGAGCATGACACTGAGTCTTCCACAGCAAAGTTCTCATCCTAAGTAATGTCTTTAAACATTGAAGTTTTTCCTACTCATAAAAGTTCTTTTAAAGTTGCAGTTTTAATGAGCTTGATAATATTCTGTGGTGGTAAACATCACAAGCCATTTATGTATTGTGTGAGGTTTTTAAAATTAATGTCCTAGGTTTTGAATAAGCCCCACTGCACTTTCATAGAAATGAGACTTTCAAGGCCAACCGCTTTACAAACTGAAGCGAGAACTGGACCTTAGGCTTCTGCAGTTCAGAACTACAGACAAGACTGGTAATGTAACTGCTATGCTATAAAATTTGCAAGAGGTTTCAAGGAGTGCTTTCACTTCTCCTGGCTGCAGCAATCTGTATGCAATTGGCCATTGTGCTCCTGTTTTCTTGATCAGACTGAAGAAAGCACTATTTCTGGTTGCTCTGAGCATGCTGGTGTGCAGGCTCTCGTACTAGCAGCACACCCCAACCAGCTTCCCTGTCCGGTGTGATCTGGGAAAGGGCAGCGTATATGCAGCACTGTGCAGTTTTGGGATTCCTCTACTGTGGAAATCCCCAGGTCTCCATCTGGTCAAAAGGCTGACCATAGTATGCCTTGTGTGAGGACTGATTAATTTGTGTGATACCTTGTGTGACGGTTCATTCACGATAGACCTAGCATTGTAAAACCTGTCTGTTCAGAAATGAGAAGTTGGCCCGAATGTCATGAGTTTGTTAAAAAATTTAAAAAAAAAAAAGTATTGCCTCCAGGCACCTGGGCTTTTTTGGTTTAGTCAATTTGCATATTAAAGTTGTCCTGGAGAATCATGAACATGATTTTGGATCTTTGTTGTAAAATGAAAATTAAGTTTTCTCTTAAGTGCACAGCTTGAGAGTCTAAGATTCACTAGAGCCGCCAGAAAGTCTGCAGTATCTGACTGTCCATATAGAAATGAAAGATGGATGTCCCTATAGCAACTGGAATCTGAAATAAAGAAATTGCAGAAAGGAAGGCAACAACCAGTTGGGTTATGCTTGCTTTGGCTCTGAGTACTTTGGATAAGGAATTACAAGTTCTGTATCTGTCTGCCTTATGCACTGGCTTGCTGGATCTGGAAGAGACCACACATGTATTTCTGCACCTTCTGTATTTGAATGGAAGACATCAAAATCTTCTACTAAAATGCAGCATGCTATATAGTACTTTAAATATTGATTGTGACCATCACTGTATTAACTGCACCAGGAATGTTGGTTTTGGAGACACAATTAGTTTCTGCAAAAGGATGGTGAGGCCAGGAAATAATACGTTTTCTGTAAAGCAGCTGCTGGAATTCTTAAGGATTAATAATTCTGTTTCCGTGAAAGTAAATACTGAAATATATATTGGCAGAATATTTTCTAAATAGAATACTTAAAAAATATCCAGAGGAAAAAAATCTGAGTTGTTTATAAGAGAAGATGTTGAAGAATGTGCTGGTTTTACTCAATACACTGGTGAAACAACACTATGCCCTCCTCAAAATAACCACCAGTCAGGTTACGCGCTGTAGGAATACATTTTTTTAGTACAAGATGCTTGGCAATGGCAACTTTAGCTTGACCACCACAACTTTCCCAAAATATGGTGTTATTTTTATTAATTAAGGCACCCAATTGCTAATTCATATTAATTATCTCTTTTCTCTTCTTCTCTAAATGGCTTTCTATAAGCTCTTTTTTTACTGGTTAAATTACAGTGACACCAGTGATGCACATTATTTTTATGCTTGCTAAGATACTATAGCTTGCATGAGACTAGTCACAAAAAGGAAATTCTGGAAAAGGTTGTCTACTTACCAATGTTTCTCAATATGGTTTTGTTCTAAAGGCCTGAATTCTGCTTTGTCATTAGCAGTGTACACAATTAATTACAAGATTATAATTCTGATAGTCATGCAATTTCTATTGGATACCATAATTTGCCTCAACAATTTTAAAAAGTGCTGTGAATTAGTAATTTCACTCCATTTGCATTGTGTAATTAAAGAAGATTAGGACTACAAATGCCACAAGATTTCTGCTTACAAGAAATAGTTATGTTCTTAATTTTGGAGAGTACAGCTTGATGTGTTACCAAGTGAAACATCAGAGTCTTAAAATTAAATGATAAATTGTAGGCCTGTTTCAACATCTGGGAAGAACAGGATGGTTCTGCCCTGTGCCACTAAAAGACTTAGCATATGACTGTGCTTGCCACTATCAGCCATTCAGCTGCAGGACAGTGTCATACTGAGGAACAGATGACTCACATCCAACAGGGAAGTGGCAAAGCAAAAATGACATTAATTCCCTGTTAAATGAAAATGAACTATTATTTTGCAATAAATAATTAAAACAATTCCCTAAACATATAATTTAAATAAAATGATAATAGAAAATAGTTCATGCAGTCCTTTTTTAATTTAGGGTCACTTTTTATTCCATTTTCTATGACATTTTCTTGACTAAATTGTTGTTGTTTTGGTTTTGTATCAGATTTAGTTTTCACCAAAAGCAGTTGTATTGCAACACAACAAAAAACCGCAGAAATAAATTTCTATTTCATCTGAAACATAAACTGTTAGACACAAATAGGTCTTTTCCACCCAGTTCGGTATTCATGGTGAGTTAAATGTTAGCTAATACGAATAGTATAGTTATTCATAGTTGTACCTTTTAACTTGGATATTAACATGTCAGGATTAAATCAGGGAGGATCTAATTCATCCACATGTTGTAAAGGCAAGGCTCTTTCATACAAAAGGCTGTATGATCATTACTTCTCCTGCTCTTCAGTGAAACATTTAAGCATTTGCTAGATTAATTGGTTTGTGAAATTACCTCATCTTGATACTTTTCTAATTTTATCTATATATTTATTATTCCTCTCCTTACCTTTCTTCCCACATTTGTTCTGACCCCTAAACCTTACATAGCAATTACCTCTCTTTGAGTCATTTTTTTCAAAAAAATACTCCTTTTGGAGTGATTATGTCATTCCATGAAGAAAGCAGAAGCAAGTTTAAATGAGACAGGCTTCATCAAAGAGAGCTGTAATCCCTGTAGTGTCTGTGTATTCTTTTGAGACTACTTTTCTCATATATTTTCCATTTTATACTGTTGAAGTGCAGTGGAAAAACAGACAGAAAACTAATAATGTAATTTAAATTAGACTTTTCCTCCCATTTCATAAACAACAGGCTAAATACTACTGTACCTCTCATATTTATTTCATTGTACTCTGTTTGGCATGTGAGACTTTGGAGACCCTTCCTTGTTCTCGTTTTCTATTTTCCTCATAAGAGGGTGAAGGGTAGTAATATTACAAGGGGGTAATAAATTCCCTGTACACATGTACATGTCAGTGGTCACAGAAATTGTGACTGAAATGACAGATACAAGAAGTATTCTTCAGGGTCT